AAAAAACCCTTATTGGGGGGCCTGGCCCTAGCTCAGTCTAAGTGGCTGCTTCCACAAAGCTGTCAGCCTCAGGTTGCTGGAGTTCGAACCTCACAACTCTCCAGCTGGCCAAAAGTGCCCTGAAGGCATTCGAGGAACAAAAAAAAAAAAGAAAATTACACTATAAGCTAAAGGAAAATTTCAGAAATAGTGTAAGTTTTCAGGGTAATTAATACTGTAAAGGGAATGTATCTCCTTACAGTAAAAATGTATCCTAATTTCTTGATCTAATTACCACATTACAGCAAATGGCTAGTTCTTAGCAAACAGTCTATGGATCTAATTTAGTGGTCCTCAAGAACATTTCACAGGCTCATGAAGTCAGCAATGCTAAAATATCATTTATCTTTTTTCACTTTTGTCCTCTCACATATGTATTATGGTATTTCTCCAGACATCATGCGATATGTGATACATCAAGACTCAATACAACTAACAAGCCTTAAAATCCAACTTCTTCCATTAAGACATTATAAGAGTTGTAGGAGTTGCAGTACAGCTTACCCATACTCATACTGTGCTTAACTACCAGAAGTCTCAGGTTTGACCTCAGCTTCACACACAACAGCCTGAGAAACGGTGATACCACGCTGCTGAGAGAAAGAAGGGCTGGGAGGGAAGAAGGGGAGACAAAAACCTGGAATTCCCAATAATTTTGTTTGTTTTTATTTTTTTGAGATAGGGTTTCATGATGTCATTTAGACTGACCTTGAATTCACTATATTATGTAACCCAGGCTGGCCTTGAACTCACAGCCATGCACCTGCCTCAGCCTCCCAAGTGCTGGGATTACAGGTGTGTGCCACCATGCTTAGCCCCAATAATTTTTAAGAATGGATAGGGACCATCAAACAAGAAAATCTGACAGTCCCAGTCTATACCATCAAAATTTTTATGGAACAATTTAGTTTTCTCAAAGAATAAATTTAACACTGAGGGAATATAGATGCAAGGTGATTACACAAATATAGTAAACTGGGTGTGGTGGTGCACACCTGTACTACAGCACTCAGGAGGCTGAAATAGGAAGATCACTTCAAATCTGAGACCAGCATGGGCTATATAAGTTCAAGAGCATCCTGGACTACATAGTGAGACCCCATTTCAAAAAACCAAAACCAAAAAAAAGGAGTACACTAACCATCACAATAAATAAGCTTTATTTGGACCTTGAATCAAACTAATAATTGAGAGGAAAAGCTAATGAAACAAATACTGGCTATTTGATATTTTAAGGAATTAACTATTTTTTAGATGATAAAATCTGTAACTGCTGAAATCAGATGTTCATTATATAGCATTTATATTTATTTGACATCTTTCATAATGAAATTTTTTTAAATCAGCCTACTAACTGATAATTTAAATCTGCCATTCAGGGGCCACGGAGATGGCTCAGTAGAATAAGTGCTTGCCTGGCACACGCAAGGGCCTGAGTTCAATCCCCGGTTCCACAAAATACATAAATAAATAAATAAATAAATAAATAAATAAAATCTGCCATTCAAAACTGTAACAAAAATCACTCTGTATCACAGAAATTATTGGGAATGTGAAAAATCTATGAAAATGAAAGAGAAAGGTTATGTACCCAAAAGACAATCAGCAATCAACTTCAAAGACGCAATAAACATATACACTGAAATCTACAGTTTGAAACCATAAAATCTTTTTCAGTATAAAACTTAGTGGAAATATTGTGTTTTCACTCCTTCAATTCTAACTCTGAGGGAAACAAATAATAGTATCAGACATACAGAAGCTACTGAATTGTCAATTCTGCTTCATTTTAAAAAGTTATATAGCTGTATGTTTTTTTGTTTTTAAATTCATTTGGTGGAGGGTCTCACTATACAGCTTGGGCTCCTAGTGATCCTCTGGTCTCAGCCTCCCCAGCACTGCGATTACAGGTATAAACCACCATGCACAGTTTCAATGGCTGGCACTTCTGGGGTTTTGAGGTTGGCACAGCATACGGTACTAGGGACTGAAACCAGGTCCTTGCACTTGCCAGGCAGGCGCTTAGACTGCTGAGCTATCTCCCCAGCCTGGCTGTATGTTTTTAAAGCAAATGAAAATCACTTTTTTATATTTCTCAAAACAAATTAGAGCAGCTAAGAATATGCAGTATTCAGTACTTCATACTGGCAAAAAATCTTATTAATAGGTACAAATTCAACAAATATTTCAGAGCCTTTAGGTCTGCAGGGGTTAAAGGTGCAAAAAATTGAAAAAGAGAAAAACATAAAGAAGCCCACTATCTACTTCATGACCAATTTGTGAATGACACACAAATACTCCAATTTCTAATGCAATATGAAGTGATAATTCCCTGAGTACACAACCAGTAAGTGATTACCATTTCTGATGAGGATTCTGAAATTGATGAACGAACTGCAGAGTGGTGCAAGGACAAAAGGCTTTGCTCTGTGAAACCAGTCACATGTCAAGGAAATGAAACCCTTAGTGGACTACAGAACAGGAGAATTACAGCAGCAGCATTATTTTCCTGACCACCACTCTTCTCTTAAAGCATCTATTTATGCTAAATTTTTCCTAATTATGAAACATTTAAAGTGATGGGAAGTTTAACATATTCCTGAGGCTCAGCCTAACCAATTTTGGGGCAAATTCTTTCAAAAGGAGAAAGTGTATCTCTGCAGTTTCTCATGAAAAAAGAAAAATGAGTTTGCAGCATTATTCAATCCTAGTCTTTCCTAGTCATGTTATCCACAGACATGTTAATATATATGTATATATTATATATGTATGTTTTATATATGTATATGTTTTACATATATATATATATATAAAATTTTGCATGTTTTTTAAAAAAGTTCTCAAGCTCAGCTAACAGCACATCTTATCATTTGTTTGTTTGAGACAGGGTCTCACTGTGCAATTCAGCCTTGGCCTTGAATTCACTCTAGTCTGTGCTGGCCTCAAACCTGCAGCGATTCTGTTCATGTTTTCAACTTCATATTTTATTAATACATATTTTCATACATACTGATCACATTCATCATACAGAATCTGTACCTGTCAATTTTTTTTTCATTTTTTCCTCTTCCCTTCAAGCCTTCATTCCCTTATAAAAGATGTTTCCATTTTTTTTATCAATTTTTTCTTTTCCCTTACTTCTCTTTCTCCTTCCTTCCTCCTATGTTTCCCTTCTCATTTGAACATGTTCTTCCTGTGTAGTCTAATTCAGTCATTTACACAGTTTAATTTATGAAAATTGCTGCATAGTACTATATATGAGCATCACAATTATCCATACTCTAATGCAATGGTTAAATTCTTTCCATTTTTATTATAAGGCTGCTAAATAATTCTATGAGCTTATATTTGTTTTTTTAGTATAGGGTCCTAGAAAGGGAACTGCTAAATCAAATGGTATATTCCTTCAACTTCCTTAGTCTGCTAAACTGAACTCCAAAATGGTTATGCCATTTTACTTTTCCACCAAGCAGTGTTAAGTGTTACTGTTTCTTATCAACCGGAATACAGTTGTTGTTTATACTGTCATACTTTTTTTTTTTTTTTTTGAGACAGTTTCACTATGTAATTCAGTTTGCTTTTAACTCAACATGTAGCCCAAACTGGCCTCCAAATGATCCTCCAGCCTCAGCCTCTCCAGTGCTGGGATTAGTGTTGGGATTACAGTCATGTGGCACCACAGCTGGCTGGAATGACATTTTCTTAAAACACAAGCAAATAAATACACAAAACAAGTTCATGTAATTCCCGTACTTGGGAGGCAACACAGGAAGATCACTGCAAGTCTGAGATCAGCTTTTGCTACTTAGTGAATTCAAAGCCAGCCTGCACTACAAAGTGAGACCTTGACTCAAAAAAAAGATAAATATTGTCTTCATTCCATACAGCTACAGACTGCATTTCACATCAGTAAAGAAGCAACTACTTTGATTAATGGTTTATTAAAATCCTTAACACTCCAGGCACGGTGGTACACGCCTGTAATCCCTGTCAGTGCGCAGGAGGATGAGACAGAAGGATCACAGCGAGTTCGTGATCAGCCTGGGCTACAAAGTGAGCTCAAGGCCAGTCTGAACTGCACAGTGGAGACCCTGTTTCAAAAAGACCAAAACAAAACCAAACCTTAACACTAATTATATCCATCAGAATATCTGAAACATTCAAAGTGCCCACCCTGACCAATGAATTAAAATAGAAACTAAGCTTATGCGCTTAAATTTCCAATCGCACTAACTTGTAAATGAGGCCTTTACAGATGAGGTTGCTCCGCATAAGTGAACTCAACTTCGGACCCTTTAATAACACATGTCTGCTCTGAAAAGTTTCCTTCATTTACAGACGCATCATCAACTGTTCTGCAAATTAATGAAGCTGCGGAGCGGTACATAAACACAGAGCAAGAAAGGCCCTTAAATCACTTACTCTAACGCCTCCATTTTTTAGGTAAAGCATCTACAATCCAAAAGTTGTAAGAAATTTCCCAATCGAGAACCTCTAAAATCCAGAGTACTTTCCATCGCACCACGAGACTTCCAGTCCTAAAATTCATTTCTATTAATTTTAGAAGTTTAGGGCCATACGTTCTGGAAATGATGGAAGTAACTCCCAGACACGCTCCGATCTTTTCATTTCTCTACCTTTTCCTTCCCCTATCCTCCATTATACCCCACGGAATGAAAACAATAACTGCCAGAGTTTCGGCCCTAACTGGTGCAGAGTACTAAAACCCCGCTACTGTTTCTGTACCAAACCGGTCCAATTTTGAAGTCCTATTAATGTCTTTATCCGATCTACACGTACTAAGCGCAGACTTGGCAGAAGCGCGATGCTCGCGGCTGCCCGGCCCGCAAAGCTCCGCGAGGGCACGAGACGGCGCTCCCGACGCGGGGGCGCCCGGAGGGGGACCCAGGGAGCGCCCCGAGCGAGCGGCGGCCGGCGCCCCCGAGCCGCGCGCCACTCACCTTTCCGTAGCTCCCGCTCCCACACCGTGACGATGGGCCGCGAGTGCTTGCGGTGGTGGATGAGCCACAGGGACAAGGTCTGCACGCTCTGCTGCGAGTTGCTCAATTCCGACAGCTTCTTCTCCAGCGCCGCCTCGGAAAAGGCGGACATCCCTCCAAACACACGTCCACGCCGACCCACGCGGAAGGGCCCAGGGGAGGAGAACTTCGCCGCCCTCGTCGCGGCCTCGCCCACTCACCCCACCCTTCTCCACGCCCTCACAGCCGCAGCCACCGCCTCCGCCGCTTCCAAGTCCGGCCGCAAACTAGCAAGATGGCGTCCAGCCGGCAGTGACGTCACGCCTGGCGCGCGCCCCGCCCCTCCCGCGGCTGGTCCTGGGAAAAGAGCCTGGGCCGAGGGGCGGGACCGTGGGGCGGAAGGGGCGGAAGAGGCGGAAGGGGCGGCAGGGGCGGAAGGGGCGGGCCAGATGGGCGGGACGCCTGCGTGGGGGCCTAGAGGCGGGGGAGGGGCGGGGGGCTTTGACACCAGTGATTACAAGTTTCTACCTAGCTGTGGTCATCGCTCATGGGTGTAAATTGGTCCAGCCACTTTGGAAGCCTACTTGCCTGATCGTTAGAGTTAGAAATACACCATAAACCAAGGCAGTGCCCAGGCTGTAGAAAGAGCCTATAGACCCAACTACTCTGGGAGGTTGAGGCAAGAGGAGAGCTTGAGTGCTAGAATTGGAGGCTGGCCTGGGATACATAACAAGATCCTGCCTCAGAGGGAAAAAAAAAAAAAAAAAAAACTAATCAAGGTCTGAGAGTGTGTGTAGTTCAGTGGTGCTTTATATGTGGGAAGCTCTGGGCTCAATCCCCAGAACCAAAAAATAAAAATAAACTAGTGAGTGGGTATGTGGGGAGGATGAGGCCTAAGCCAGATGCTAAGATTAGTCTTTCCAGGAGCTTCCCAGTGTTTGGCTGGCTTTGCTTGCATTCCCCACCTTCCAAGCCTCCTCCCGTGCCTACCGTGTGGCCCTGGGTGCACTGGATATTATGCTGTCTTCAGCACCTGCCTCTCCTGGATTCCAGTGCTTCTGAAATCTGTAAGCCCAGATGGCTGAAGGTGCCTCGTGTCCTTGACTCTACTTAACCCTGCAGCTAGGACTAACTGCCTGTCTTCTACAGATTATCCCTGTTCCCAGAGAAGAGCAAGCAAGAAGAAGCCATCTTGTACTACCGGAAGAACATGGTCATGGCCCAGCTGGCCTCTTTCTTGTACTCTGCACACCTCTGGGGCTGTCTAGAGACCCTGGACGGTTTGACTACCTCTGTCACAGTCACCAATGACTTCGTGTGTGTGTGTGTGTGTGTGTGTGTGTGTGTGTGTGTGTGTGAGCCTGGCCATACTGTGCAGTTACACAACACTCAGCAAAGAATGGCTCCTGGCTAAGTTCAGGGCCTTCCTTTTCCCTGAGATAACTGAAGCCATACTTTTGTACATCATCTTCAGCCCCAGAAACATAATTTGTCAGCTGCTATATAGAGATAAGAGACCCAACATTACATGAAAAGAAATATGATTCAGAAAAACATTTAAGAGCCGGCCAAATAGCTCAGGAGACTAAAGTGCCTGCAGGCAAGTACAGGGGCCTGGGGTTCGATCCCCAGGCCTGCAGTGTTGGCCCCGTCCCCAGGGTGCACTGAGATGGCAATTGAAATTGGGCATGGTGGTGTGCGCCTGTAATCCCAGCACTTGGGAGGCTGTAAACGGGAAAATCACCTAGTCTGATCTAATAGTGAGACCCTGAACACTCTGTAGACCCTTCCCCCAAAAAAATCTTAAATATCCATTAGAAAGTACAACTTCTGTACAGTTTCACTAATTACTACCAAGGCTAGACAAACATCAGTATGTTTGCAACAGAAGATGCATGCTAGGTGTTGGATCCAGTATAACAGCAATGAAAAATTGGAACATGAAGGTAAATGGCTAAAGTGTGACACATCAAAATTCCAGAGTGCACATAGCAGTATACGATATAAGTCAGCTGGGCACAGTAGTGTGCATCTGTCTTCCCAGTACTCTGGAAGGCTGGGGCAAAGGATCAGTAATTTGAGCCCATCCTGGGCAACTTGGTGAAATCCTGTTACAATGGAAATTTAAAAATTACGAGTAGTCTGACATCATGTTAGAACAAAACGAGACTATGCAGCCCACCAAGTAGCTCATTTGTTAGACTCACTAGACTTGACTGACTAAACAGAGATAACCTGACCCAATTCAGTGTAACCCCATCTTGCTGCACAATCTGTACTTTCCCCAAACATACCCTGTTTACTAACTTGTCTCAAGAACTTTCTGCTCAGCAACAAAGAATAACTGATGCTACACAAAAAAATTTCACCATGTGGTGGACTGACAACTGGCAGTCAACTTGTAACACCCAGCTGAACTGACCCAGCATGGTGGTTGTGGGAGGCCCATCTGATGATTGTTTTGGACAGCATAAGAGGCAGACCTGGAGAGAAAGAACTTTAGGAGCTGTTAGTTCTCTTGGGACTGTTGGTTCTCTTGAAGGATCTTGCCATGCTGGCTTTCCTGATGAATTCAATTGATATCATCAGAGGACCTCAGGACCTCCTTGGAGCTAAGGATGGCTGTGGTACTTTTATGGGGTGCTCTGGTCTTTATTTTACATGTTGCTTTCTGGCCCTAGTGCAGATCCCTCATCCTGCTAGCACAGAGCCTTCATTCTGCTGGTGCAGACTTTCTATCTTCTACCACTGACCTGTGGGCCTTCCCAGCGCAGATCTGTGAGATAGGCCTGCATGAGACATTGTCATGGACTCTATATCTTCAGCTGGACTCAGGCAGGACATTGCCATGACATCCAGGCCCTCAGCTGGATTATTTTGTTCTTTAGTGTGTAAACAGATTTCCTATACTTTCCTTGTATATGACTCTTTGGGTCACTATTATAAAATAATCCTATAAGTTGTATATCCTGTATTATTTCCCCCTAAAGCCCTAAACTACAGTACCATGCTTTTAAGCCTTTGTATCTCCCACTTGCAAACCCATATAAACTAGGCCCAAAGCTGGCTCTGGGCTGATGCTTTGGAAGCAGTCCCCTGTCAGCCTGCCAATGTAATAAAGTTGGCTGCCACCCAACTCCTTGGTACAGAGCATTTTCCATTTGGTTCAATACCAGTTCTAAAACACTGTCTCACAATTTATAAATAAATAAATAAAGCTAGAGCTACATTTCAAGGTGAAGGCCCTTGGTTCTATCCCCAGTACTACACCAGAGAGAGAGAGAGAGAGAGAGAGAGAGAGAGAGAGAGAGAGAGTCTAAAATGTAGATTTGTATTTTTAATAGTGATCTCAAGAAGAGGATAAAAATTGGAAACTTTAACTGGGTGTGGTGGAAGACACCTATAATCCCAGCACTCAGGAGACCGAGGCAGGAGAATTCAAAGCCGTCCTGGGCTACACAGCAAGACCCTGACTCAAAAAAAAAAAGGAACCCTTAAACTTTGCCTTACATTTTCATTTTTTACTAGAATAAGAGGTTCATGTTTACTCAAAATCACTGTTAAATTTTTTTTGTTTTGTTTTTTGAGACAAGGTCTCACTGTATAGCCCAGGCTGGCCTTGCTTGAACTCACTATGTAGAGTAGGCTGATCTCAAACTTGAAGCAATCCTCCCTCCTGCCTCAACCTCTCAGGTGCAGGGATTCAGGAATGCTCCATCACGACTGACCAGCACAGTTAAATGTTAACTCTAAAGGACTGGGGACATAGCTCAGCGGTTGTTATGCTTTATATCTAGGTGTCACCCCAAAGCCTCATGTAGTCAGCCACTGGGGCGGGCTTCTAGAGTTTGTGATTAATTCGTGATCCAATGCTGGGGTTATGGGTATGAGCGCTGCACCTTCCTGGAGACAGATAGCCTGACAGCAATATAAGGAAAGGAGAAAGGCTTGCCTTTGCTGCTGCCTCTGCTCCTCCCTCTTTTTTTTTTTTTTTTCTTTCTGCTCCTCCCTTTTTGCTCTTGCTTTTTAGCTGTTTTTCACCACTGTGAACTGCTGCCCTCTGCATGTGCCACTCTGCCTTGGAGCCAGCCAAATACAGACTGAAACCTCCACAAACTGTGAGCTAAACAAACTTTTCCTTCTTTAATTTTTTTTTTCCTTCCTTAATTTTGACTGTCAGGTACTTTGTCCCAGCAACAAGAGAAAAATAACCGAGATGGTGGTACAGCATGTTCATTGTATATGTGAGACTCTTGAGTTCAATCGCAGCCCAACTGAGCCAGGGAGGTAGCTCAGCGGTGTAAGTGCCTGCCTGGCAAGCACAAGGACCCAGGTTTGATCCTGGCACTATATGCTGCGCTGGGCCTGCCTGGGATTCACAGAGTAGGCCACTGAAACTGGGTGTGGTGGTTTACACCTGTATTCCCAGAGCTGGGGATGCTGAAACAGGAGGATTACTATGAGTCCAAGCTGTAGCAGACAGACCCTGTACCAAATACATAAAATTAAAAAATAAATAAAATTTTAAAATCTCAGCCCAACAATAAATATTAATACATTTCAGAAATCCCATCATCAACCCAGAACATTTTGAAATAACACTTGCCTTAATTATAAATATTCACAAAGGATACAAAAAGATGGATCTTGTCACATTGTAAACATTTATACAAGAAACTTTCAGAAAGAAAGATGCGTGAAAATCCCTAAGCCACCCAAGAGGTGTGGTGGTGCATGCCTGTAATCCCAGCCCCTGGCAGGCTGAGGCAGGAGGATAGATGTGAGTTTGAGGTTAATCTGGGCTACATAGTGAGACCCTGCCTTAAAAAACAAAAACAAAAAACTCCCTAAACCATCTTTTCAGAAACCCAGTTCAAGAACTTAGTACCTGAAGGGATCAAATGTATTTGATAATTTACTCAGTTACCAGTACAGTTTATCTTTCCCATTTTTCCTTCTGTTTTTAATGGATGGGCTGCGGTATAAAATCTTTCCATTTTTCATGGTATGGCCAGTTGAGGTTCAGAGAGAGTTGAAGATGGGTCATAACTTTTCTTTCTTCTCTTCTCATTCCAACATCTATTCCTGCACTTACGTTCTTCACTGCCCAATTGTAACCTCTGTTCATTCAGTCCACTTAGCCTAGCTTTCGACTTTAACATAAAGGGAATTTAACCTATCTTCGGAAACCTAATTGCGTCTTTTTGTTCCTAATTGTATCTTTAAACACTATTCCCACCCATCAGCTCTACAACCACCCAAACTGGTACTTGTTAGTTCAATCTATGTCTTTCC